AAGACATTCAGGCGGCTACCAGATACATGAGGAAATGCTCGCAATCATTAGCCATTAGAGAAATGCAAATCAAAACTACAATGAGATACCATCTCATCCCAACAAGGCTAGCATTAATCAAAAAAACACAAAATAGTAACTGTTGGAGAGGTTGTGGAGAGACTGGAACACTTACACACTGCTGGTGAGAATGTAAGATGGTACAACCACTTTGGAAATCAATTTGGTGCTTCCTTAAAAAGCTAGAAGTAGAAGTACCATATGATCCAGCAATCCCACTCCATGGAATATATTCTAGAGAAATAAGAGCTGTTACACAAATAGACATATGCACACCCATGTTCATCACAGCACTGTTCACAGTAGCAAAAAGATGGAAACAACCTAGGTGCCCATCATAGACAAATGGGTAAACAAATTGTGGTACATTCACACAATGAAATACTACACAACGATGAATCCATGAAACATCTCATAACATAGGTGAATCTGGAAGCATTACACTGAGTAAATTTAGTCAGTTGCAGAAGGACAAATATTGTATGAGACCACTATTATAAGAACTCAAGAAAAGGTTTAAACACAGAAGGAAACATTCTTTGATGGTTATGAGAGTGGGGAGGGTGGGAGAGAGGGGTATTCACTAACTAGATGGTAGACAAGAATTATCTTAGGTGACGGGAAGGATAACACACAATACAGGAGAAGTCAGCACAACTGGACTAAACCAAAAGCTAAGAAGTTTCCTGAATATAACCAAATACTTCGAGGGACAGAGTAGCAGGGGCATGGGTCTGGGGACCATGGTTTCAGGGGACATCTAGGTCAATTGGCATAACAAAGTTTATCAAGAAAATGTTCTGCATCCCACTTCGGTGAGTGGCGTCTTGGGTCTTAAGAGCTAGTGAGCGGCCGTCTAAGGTGCATCCGTTGGTCGCAACCTACCTGGAGCAAAGGAGAATGAAGAACACCAAAGACACAAGGAGAGTATTAGCCCAAGAGACAGAAAGGGCCACATAAACCAGAGACTTCATCAGCCTGAGACCAGAAGAACTTGATGGTGCCTGGTTACCACCAATGACCACCCTGACAGGGAACACAACAGAGAGTCCCTGATGGAGCAGGAGAAAAGTGGGGCACAGAACTCAAATTCTAGTAAAAAGACCAGACTTGATCGTCTGACTTGAGACTGGAGGGACCCTGGAAGACATGGCCCCTGGACTCTCTTTCAGCCCAAAACTAAAACCATTCCTGAGGCTAACTCTTCAGACAAGGATTAGACTGGAATATGGGACATAAAGTGATACTCTTGAAGAGTGTACTTCTTAGCTCAAGTAGGTACATGAGACTAAATGGGCAGCTCCAGTCCAGAGGTGAGATGAGTAGGCAGAAAGGGACAGGACCTGGTTGAATGGACATGGGAAATCTGGGGTGGAAAGGAGGAGTGTGCAGTCACATTATAGGGAGAGCAGCTAGGGTCACATAACAATGTGTGTATCAATTTTTGTATGAGAAACTAACTTGAAAAAAAAAATTCAACAGTAAATTTTCAAAAAAGAAAACCACTGGGCAAATATGCTGTGAAAGACCTCTTTAAAGTGTCAGAAGGCAATGATGTCACTTTGAGGACTAAGATGCACCTGACCCAAGCCGTGTTAACTTTCAGTCACCTCATGTGCATGTGAAAACTGAATAATGAACAAGGAAGACCAAAGAAGAATTGATGCCTTTGAATTATGGTGCTGGCAAAGAATATTGAATACACCATGGACTGCCAGAAGAATGAACAAACCTATCTCGGAAGAAGTACAGCCAGAATGCTCCTTAGAAGGGAGGATGATGAGACTTCTTCTTACATACTTTGGACATGTTATCAGTAGGGACCAGTCCCTGGAGAAGGACGTCATCCTTGGTAAGGTAGAGGGTCAGGGAAAAGGAAGAAGACCCCCAACAAGATGGATTGACACAGTGGCGACAAGGGGCTAAAACAGCAACAATTGTGAGGATGGCACAGGACCAGGCAGTGTTTCGTTCTCTTGAGCATGGGGTCACTCTGAGTCGGAACTGACTGAACGGCACCCAACAGCAACAACAACAGCATCCATTCTTATTTGCTTCAGATCTCACCTGTATACTGGTAACTCAAATCCCCCTTCTCAGTGCTATGGTGGGAAAGCACATATTGCCATAGTTCTACATGGCAAAGACATCCAGCCCACAGTGGGAGGAACTTACTAGACTTCTTGAAGTAAATTGTATCCACGTTATCCCTTAAAGGATAAATAAGTGTTAGTCAAGTGACTAACAAGTGAAAGCGGGGAGTTCAGGCTTCGGAAGAGTATTCCAGCCAGAAGGAACAGGGTCAGAGGCCTTTTATATCAGGAGTGAGCCCCATGATGATTCATGAGCCTTAGCCTACTTCTGTAAATAAAATTTGATTGGAACACAGCCACACGTACTCATTTTCATATTGTCTTTGGTTCCTTTCAGAATATAAAGGCATAGTTGAGTAATTGCAACAGAGACCATCCGGCCCACAAAGTCTACAATATTTATCAGCTGGCCCTTTCTGAAGGAGCCCTGGTGGCACAGTAGTTAAGTGCTTAGCTGGTAACAGAAAGCTTGGTGATTCGACAGTCTGCTTCGGTAAAGATTTACAGCCTTGGAAGCCCTCTGGGGCAGTTCTACTCTATTCTTCAGGGTCCCTATGAGTTGTAATTGACTCGACAGCAATGAGTTTGGGTTTGGTTTTGGCCCTTTAAGAAAATTTGCGAACCCCTGCTTTTCATGGTATGAGAGGAGATGCCGCGAGTACTATAATTTTAGAAGCTATATTGCTTAAAATATTCTAATTTCTTTTCCAAAGAAACACCTACACCTCAGAGGAAAGGCCTTCGATCAAGTGCACTGCGGCCAAAGAGACCAGAAACACCCAAGCAGACTGGCCCTGTTATTATCGAAACCTGGGTAGCCGAAGAAGAATTGGAATTATGGGAGATCAGGGCATTTGCTGAGAGGTAAGGAAGTGGTTACTACGTGATCATCGACTTGAAGATTTTTTCACTTCAGAATTAAAGAATTATCAGTTTAATAATATAATTAAATCAGTGTGTCTTAGTTATAAATTTATAATGTTATAAATTCATTATGTCCTAGTTAATTTTATTTCACCTTTTGATTTTAAGTGCTAGATGTATATAGTTCATTAAGACCCTATTTCTAATTTTAATGTTATTTGTCACTTTCTAATTATCTTAATTTAAATTTCTTATTTTTAAGCAAAATAATTTCACCTTTGCATGAGGAGAAAGTCAACCAGATTTCAAATATATTAGTTAGATGTCAGACGCCTGATACGGTAGTGTCTAATAAGATTCTCCTTGTTTTCCTGCAGAGTGGAGAAAGAAAAGGCACAAGCAGTTGAGCAACAGGCTAAGGTTAGTGAACAGAAGAAAGCAGAGGACTTCAAGGCCCAAGTGGAGGTTCAGCTAAAACAGCAGCTATTGGCTGCCCAGCAGGTGGGGGATTTGGTACTAGTCCCACCTGGCAACGAATTTACATTTTTGGCCAAATTCATGCACACCAAAACCACATTAGTTGTGTGTGTTTGTGTGTCTGTGTGTGTTTGTTTTTTTATTGTGGTAAGTATATAGGTAGCAGAACATTTGCCATTTCCCCAGTCTTCATTTGTATAGTTCGGTGATATTACGTTCATCGTGTTGTTCAGCCATCACTGTATTTTACATATATCTCAATTTCATTACATGAAAATAGCTCTGTGGATACACTAAGCTGTGGTTTTGCAAAAAGCATGCATATTTGGAAAGCAGTGTTTGAAATAAGATTTTTCTTTTTATTTTTATAATTCAGAGGATAGTTTCTAAAAATAATCTTTTCCTGCAAAATTCCAAACTGGAAAAGCTCTATCCAAACCAAACCCACTGCTGTCGGGTCATTTCTGAGTCCCAGCGACCCTGTAGGGTTTCCAAGGCTGTACATCTTTATGAAAGCAGACCGCCACGTCTTTTTCGGGCAGAGTGACAGTGGTTTCGAACCGCCAGCCTTGGAGTTAGCAGTCGATCACTTTACCCGCTTCGCCACCAGGGCTTCTTGAAAAAGCTCTATAGTCTATGGAAAAGCAAATTGTATGTAAAACTCTATAAGATGATGATGATCACGGAGCTACTAATGGTTTCTTACCTGTCCAAATTCTAGTTATTGGAGGAGATCATGATTAGCAAGGTAAATGTGATAAAACTTCTAGCCCAGCATAAAGTTGGTATCCTGAGCTTCTTTCATATTTCAAAATTCACATACCTAAGACTTTCTTTTGGCTTCTTTTTTTAATGTATTGCTTTCACATACTTAACATCTTGAAACTATTATTTTTAACGTAACTGTACCATATGTACTTGAATATTAGGGACCTAAATCAAAGACGATTACCCCTTTTTCCATTGGGTAATCAAGATATTGCAAAGGTTTTTAGTCAACTTGAATATATAAACTTTTAGAATGTAGATGAAATAGATGTACGTCTATTTATAATGTTGTTATTAGCTGAGTTACAAATAACTCTTTTAAAATCACTTTATATATTCATCTCAATCTACTTTTTTCCTCTCACAGTTTGTAAAAATTTTTTTTACAAATTCTTATGTATCTTTGACCTCAGTTTACTGTAGATTGTTATCTTGTCTTACATCCAAGTTGTTTGAGATAACACTTTTGGATTCTATGTATGATGCTGCCACTGGACATTTATCCCCAAACACAACTATCAGTTCATGCAACAATTGGCTATCTGTTTTGTTTTTTATCTTATGGGTGCGTTTTGTCATCTCTGCAAGGTCACCACTTAATGTATTGCTTTTTCAAATTTCTTTGGAAGGCTTATTTACAAAGATATCTAACACTTCCAGTTTTGAAGTCACAGCCCCAGGAAATAACTGCTAGACACGTCTTCAGTTTCTTTGCCTCCTTTTTCTGCTGATTCAATCAGGTGACATCTCTAAATATTCGAAACAAAACTCCCTTTCTTATGAGCAATTGTTATGTGAAATATCTCACATCATAATGTGTTGCCGTCAAATTGGTTCTGACTCATAGCAACCGTATAGGACAAAGTAGAACTGCCCCATAGGGTTTCCAAGGAGCAGCTGGTAGATTCAAACTGCCGACCTTTTGGTTAGCAGCTGAGCTCTTAACTACTGCACCACCAGGGCTCCCCCTCCCATTATATTCAGGTGTATATAGTGTGTACAAAAGTAGTCCTAAAAAATTGTGTGTGATGTCATTCATGGTGCGTTTACAATGGCAGGAGATAGTTCAGCACTGGAATCTGATCTTAGCTCTAGGACTAACTAGTTCTGTGGCCTTGGGCAAGTTACAAAAGTTCTCTAAGCCTTAGTTTCCTTGTTTTAAAGTGGCAGTAATACCAGCAACCTCACTGGGTTGGTATGAGCATTAAATAAGATAGGAAGGTAAAGCTCTGCCACCACATGTGCAATAAATCCCACCTATTGTTTTTAGACATGTAAGCTTATTGGTATTCATCAGACCATTGTTGAGAAGGTTTTAGAAAATTTCAGCACTCTATAATGAAAAGATATGCAAATGATCTTTAATAGACCTGTAGTCTGAAAGATCAGATTATACTTGCCATCCAGTCAATTCTAACTCATAGAGACCCTATAGGACAGAGTAGAACTGCCCCACAGGGTTTCTAAGGTGCAGCTGGTGGATTTGAACCACCAACCTTTTGGTTAGCAGCCGAGCTCTTAACCACTGCACCACCAGGGCTCCCCATATTATACTCCTCTGTGTAAAATAGTCTAAAGTATTTTTCTGCAAACATATTTGAACTAAATAATGTAAGAAATCTAGAAATATTGTTTTATAATGTTCGGCAAGGATGACAGGACTACATCTCACATACTTTGGACATATTATCAGAAGGGATCAGTCCCTGGAGAAGGACATCGTGCTTGGTAGAGTGTCATTGAAAAAGAGGAAGGCCCTCAACGAGATGGCTGCAACAATGGGCTCAAGTATAACAGTGATTGTGAGGATGGCACAGAACCGGGCAGTGTTTCGTTCTGTGGTACATATGGCCACTATAGGTCCCAAATGACTCGATGGCATCTAACAGCAAGAACAATGTTCAGCTTGCTTGATTGCAGGTTTGCGAACTTGAATAGCTATATTAAATACTGATGTGTTCTTATGGCTGGATAAACTAATATTGCAGTAAACTGGAAACCTTGTGCAGCTCCCGTCATTTGGTATCTGCTGCAAATCCCACTGCTGAGCAACAAGGTGTTCTTGTCTGCAGTAAGGTTGCCCACGTCTCTTAGATTTTCAGTCTGAAAGCCTGGATAGTTGTACAGGCTGGAAAAATGTGACATTGAAATTTTTCTGTTTTGAACAACTTCACACCTTTCTTAAAATATATGTGGTGTAAAGCCAGGAAAATTTTGCTTTCATCAAGAAATTAAATTCAGTGGTAAACTTATATAGGGTTATTTTCAGAAGTAAAATATTTTAGAAATTTAGTGTAAACAGTTCCTTAAATTGGGAGAAATTGTGGCTGAACTTCTTGCGGAATAATATTGTTTTTATTTAGAACTATTTTGGTTCATGTTTTCTCTTCCCGGACTTTTTTAGAAACGATTGGAGCAGCAGAAACCTACAGTAATTGCAGCTTCCACTACTTCCCCAACAAACAGTACAACCAGTACCGTCTCTCCAGCACAGAAAGTTATGGTGGCCCCCATAAGTGGCTCAGTTGCACCTGGAGCTAAAATGGTACTAACTACTAAAGTTGGATCTCCAGCTACAGTAACATTCCAGCAAAACAAGAACTTCCACCAAACCTTTGCTACGTGGGTTAAGCAAGGCCAGTCAAATTCAGGTACACAACTGTGATTAAATAGAAGATTGCTTTCCATCCAGAAAAAGAGAAATTTCTGTACTTTACCTACTGAAATGAAACATCTCTTTAGAAAATTGTTTTTCTTCTGCAGCTGATTGAGCGAACCAGCTCTAACAGTTGGTTTGTCGCAGATAATATTCATAATATTACATTAGTGAATCTCCTCTCTTACATTATTTCCCTTTCAACATTTACATAGTTCACGGACCTTGATTGGAGAGGAATGTTTTTCTTAAAAATACAAAATGAGTCACATTTCATGCATTGGTACCCTTCCTAGAAGTCACTACGTTGCTGGTTATTTTAAATCTAAAGCTTAATAAATGTCTTATACCCCATTAGCCACCAGCACAGCTGCCACATCTGCTACAACCATTGCCAGCACAGGTCAGACGTTCCAAATTACAGGCAATCCAGTCACTATGGCAGGAAAAGTAATTACCAAACTGCCACTTCCTGCAAACAGCAAGATTGTCGCTGTAAATGTGCCAGCAACGCAAGGAGGTAAGGGAAATGTGAGGAGTTTTAATTCACATTTGCCAGATCATACTGTTGCCATTATTTTTCATTTCCTTTTCACTGATTTCAGTCCTCAGATCTCACATTCTATGTAGTCCACTTTAAAACCCTGCCACACGTAGTTCCTCCTCAAAAACCGAGCAACACCTAATGCTTTTAATTAAAGGGGTATTTATTAACCGTCTTTTCATCTTTTTTTAAGGTGTTGTTCAAGTACAGCAGAAAGTCCTGGGTATCATTCCATCTAGTACAGGTACAAGTCAGCAAACCTTTACTTCATTCCAGCCCAGGACAGCGACTGTCACAATTAGGCCCAACACCTCAGGCTCTGGAGGAACCACAAGCACTTCACAAGTAAGAACTCTTTGCAGACTTACTTTGTTTTAAAGTCTTGAGCCCCTCAGGTGAAGTTTTTAGAGTGGCCTCTTCCAGGATTAATCCAGCTTCTAATTTTTCCTTGCCTTTTACTTCATCTATGACAAAGTATTGTTTTGGAAACAATCTATTTGTAATATTTCTGATAAGTGAAAAATGATACACAGACTATTAACTATTAACTTTTAATTACTGCATCTTGATATAGTTTATGAATAATAAGAATTGCTTGATAAGATTTTTATAAAGAAAATTTACTTCTACAAAACAATGAGCAGCACTGGACCACCCAAGGAGACCTGCTGTGAAGCCTAGTTAAGAAATAGAATGAAAAATGCAATCCAAAGAACTATAACTAGTTTGTTAACCAGATGATATGTGCTTCGTATTAGATCCATCATTTCTCTGGCACTTGTATTACAGAAAAGATTTAAAGTTTTGCAGACTTGAAAATTTTTTGAACCTAAGTATAAAATTGAAAATAATGTGCTCTCTAGTTTCCCTTTTAAAACTATAAAAGAACATTTTGGTTTCTGATCTTACTGTTCTACTCTCTGGGTTACAGCTATGGATTGGAGTTTAGAGAAAATAAGATTTCCTGTGACCAGCTATGGTGGTTTTAGAGCAGAGCCTCGCTGGGTTTTTTTCCTTCCTTTCCATCTGTAGGCAGTTCTTGGTATCAGTGGCAAAGAATTTCATACGATCTTATCTGAATTAAATTAAATTTTCTCCTCTCAAAATTTCATCTTTATTCTGATGCTTAATATAATTTACAATGTAATGTCCAAGAGCGTTTGTCATGTCTGTAGACATTTTTGTCAATATGGAATGTGTAAAGATCTTGTATTCTAAGTCCAACATGCTTTAGTCTTCTAAAAACATTTTAATTCATTGTCCTTTGTATCATTTATAGGTAATCACAGGGCCTCAGATCCGCCCTGGTATGACGGTGATTAGAACACCACTCCAACAGTCAACACTAGGAAAGGCAATTATTCGAACACCTGTGATGGTACAGCCAGGTATTCGTCCACCCAGTACTATCATTCTACATCTAAACGGCCAGTGTAGGACATCGATAATACTCTGTATTTGGCACTGTACATTCTAGAAAATACCAAATTGAACTAATACTTCAAAGCATACTAAATTTCTAATCCATTGTGGGTTGCATCCACAGATATGATTTCATTCTTGGCATTGCCAGTAAGAGAAAAATAGGTTCAAGTATGCTTGTTAAAATCGTTAAAAACAAACAAACAAAAAACTTCTAGTAAATGAAATATATACCATTCACATCATTGGAATAAAGAGAATGCGCAAAGAAAACAGTCTGTATGGCAAAAGACGAGGAGAAAATCAAGGAAACCGCTATGAAGCAGATAAAACAAGATTACAAAGGCAGTGCCAGACATGTCATTTATCAGAACTGGTGTGAATAGGTTAAAACTCCTATATTAAAAGTTGAAGACTGTAAAGATAGAGTAAAAAAAATCCAACTAAGCATTTATAAGAAGCATGCCTAAAATCAAATTATCACAAAAGGTTAAAAAAAAAAAAAAAAAGATGGGCAAAGATACATGAAGTAAAGGCCAAAAACAAGAGGCAAGAATAGCCCTACTAATGTTAGACAGAGTGAATTCAGTGTCCAAAAAAAAAAGAAGGTTACTGGCTTATAGAAAGAAGTTGCAGTAAAGATGCAATCTTGAATCTTTATGAATTAAAATAAAATAACAGTAAAGTGTATAAAGCACTTCAATTATTAACAGAAGCATGGTAAACCAGAAATAGACTGTATCTTAAGTTTTGTATCACCAGGAATTTACATTCTTATTAAATATTTATGGACTACTACTTGGTCATGAGCCATAGATGAAACTTTGATGATGTCCAAAAGGCAGAATGTATATAGGTCACATTCTTTGACCACACTGTAGTAAAGCTACAAATTAATATTAAGATGTTATGCTAATAAACTTTATTTACTTGGAAATTTACAAAAATATGCTCTCACAAATAACTTTTTGGTAAAGAAACATCAATGTGTAATTGCAAACAAATTATCAAATAGCTGCTTTTAAGCCCTGTTGCCAAAGCTGAATTCAGAGGTAAATTCGTATTCATTCATTCAACAAATATTTGAGCACCTGCCTTACACAGTTGAGATACAGTTAACAAAACAAGACCTCCATATTCTTAAATACTAACTAATCAGGAGTTAGAAAAATATATAAAACAAGTCTTCACAGAAAACAAGGGAGGAAGTAAAACAAAAGCAAAGTAATGATAATGAGAAAACAGAAAAGACAAAAATTGTTAAAACAGACTATTCGTTTGCCTATCTAATCTTGAGAAAAGGGAGCAGAACACTAATTCACAGAATTAAGAGTGGGAAAGTACTATAAAAATACAGCTTTTTTTAAAATCTGAAGAAAATTGTCTACACGTGACCTTGAGGTGAGACTTTCAGAAATCTCACCATCCAAACTCAGAAAGCGAATCGATTTAAATAGCGAGAGACAGTTATATGCTGTACTTGTCAGTTGGAAGTCTCAATAACGTATATCAAAGGAAGAAATTAGAAAAGTTGCTATAGTGTTACCTACAAAAAAGAATTCCAGATCTCATGGTTTTATGGGTGAATTCTTTAAATTGTCAGGGAACAGGTGATTTCTTTATTATTAAAAAAAAAAGGTTCCAGGGCATAGCAGGAATAAAATATAATATTTTCCATTCATTTTACAAATTTAGTGCAATTGTGATACCAAACATCGTACAGTTTAGAAAAAGGTAAGTAGGGGCAATCTTCTATTCCTTAGTATGTTTTGCCCCAGAAAAGATGATTCATTATTTCAGTTAATGCTGCCACGACAGTTGAGAAAATTCATTGTCCCTGTTTAAAACTTTTATCTGTCAGTTGGGCAGGTGACTGAAAAGAAAGATATAACATATAAAGGAGAAAATAAAATTTATAGGTAATAGATGATAATATACTTAGAAAACAAAAAAAACTTGAAACTAATGAAGTAAATTGCCAGGTAGAAAAAAGTCTGGTAGTACTTAAGATGCATAGCGCCTTTGTCCCTTAATGCCTTACATAGCTGCAGTGATACATTTGTCTGACATGCATATGTGAATTATGTGCATCTGTAGCTTCCATACACCATCCCCTCCCAGGGTTTCGCTACTTTTCTTCCCTAAAATCTTGACTACCCTATGAGCATGTGGTTTGTATAATGAGCTCCTCAACCCTGTTGCCACTGGCTGTGTAGGGCTTCTTTCATGTAATTTAGCCAGTCTACGTTTAAATAGTTGATTCTTAGTAATAATACTAATAGCAACTGTCATGTACTGAGCATTTGATTTTGTGTGAGTGTGTAAGCATTTCATACAGAAGCTTTCATTTAATCTCCATATAAAGGAGGTGTTAATATTATCCTCAGTTTATAGATGAAGAAATTAAGTCTCAAGATATTGAATAACTTCTTTAGCTACTAAGTTCCAGAGCTGGGATTCAAGCCAAAGTCATCTGATTTCCAAGTCCAGATATTCATTTATTCTTTCAGTGCCAGGCACGGTTCCAGGCCCAGGGGACTACATTTGTGAATGCCACAGACAAAATACCCACTGTCATGAAGCTTATAGTCCAATGGGAAAAGTAGACAATAACTAGATAGAGAAGTTATATATGTAGTATGCTAAATAGTGATGAGTACTAATTAAAAAGGAAAATGATATGAATGTTGAGAGTTGGGGCTGAGGGTTGATTTTCAATGGAGAGGTGATATTTTGGTAAAGGGTAGCCAGAGAAGGACTCAGTGAGAAGGTGAAATTTGAGTAAAGACCTGAAGGAAATGAGAAAGCCATGCATATATCTGGATAAAGAGCTTTTCATGAAGAAGGAGCATCAAACACAAAGGCCCTGAAGTGAGAGTGTGCCGTGTGTATTGAAGGAAAAGCAAGGGGACCAGTGGGGCCGGTAGGGCCCAGGAAGGAGGGGAAGGAGGAGAGCTGTCACAGGAGCTGTCATAGGAGCTGTGGTCAGAGAGACGGAGAGGAGTGTGTGTGTCTGAGTGTGCGCAGATCTCACTGGAACTTACCCTGTTGTTATTGCTACGCTAGCCTGTCTCAAAATGGGATCCACAGACCGCCCAGGTATAATCGAAAACTTTTTAATGTTTGATTTGCATTTAGGTGGTGGTCTAAAAGTAGATTAATATGTACATATTGGGAATCATCTGAATGATTGTCATCTAATCAATCAGTAAAAAAGAAAAACAAATTGCTTCCAACTCAGAGCAACCCGTGTGTGTCAGAGTAGAACTGTGCTCCCCAGAGTTTTCAGTGGCTGATTTTTTGGGGAGTAAATCACCAAGCCTTCCTTCTGAGGTACCTCTGGGTGAACTCAAACTTCCAGCCTTTCAGTTTGCATCACCTAATAGCAGCCCTTTTCTCCGTTTATGTTTATGATGATCCTGGTGATCACCTAAAGTGATAACTTCGCATGCATTGTTTCTCGAACTGCAGTACAAGGACGTAGTGCGGGGTCCAGAGGTTCTCAAGTTAGAGCACTTGACTACACAATGCTGTACTGCCTTGCAATTCATCTTGAAAAGTAAATGGATGAGAATAACCAATAAAATTTTAGAAGAAAGAGAAATGATGGAAAACTTGCCGGGGGGGTTGTTATGGCATGTTATAAAGCCACCAGAATTAGGAGCATGATACCAAAGGAAGACTAGACAGGCAGAAGTGAGTTAAAGAGACATATATGTGAACATTTGCTGTATGACAAATAGGAAGGAAGGATTAGAGTCATTAGTAAGTGATACTGGAATAATCAGTTTATAGTTTGGGGAGGCAGTAGACCTTGGCCTCACAACATACACCATGACTGAGAACATATGTGGGAGGATGTGTCTGATTGGAGAATGCAGGAGAAGTATAGTAGGCAATAATTAAAGCTAAAAAATTCTTAAAAAGCAAAAGAATGGTCAGATTGACCACACTTAAAAAAAAAAAAAATTATAGGTTTAAAAATAAATAACTTTAAAAGCAGACAGCAAAATGGGGAAAAAACACTTGCAATTTATATCTTTATAAAAAGCAATTATAAGTCATTATGAAAATATAAAAACACCCTAGTAGAGTAATGGGCAGAGTGTGGACAGTTGACAAATGAAGTACAAATGCCTTGAAACAGTTTGAAATCCCGACCCTCTGTATAATTGATGAAATGCAGTCACATAGTTCAGTGGTGATACCAAGAGTTGTCAAGGGTTCGATGGAATGGACACGCAGAGGTGGTGGGATTATGAATTGGTATAGCCTTTCTAAAATTCATTTTAGTACTACGTGCCTACTGTGAACCCAGTAATATTTTTCAGAGTTTATTCTAAGGAAATAATCAGAAGCACACTATATAAACAAGGAATTTACCATGGCATTATATAAAATAAGAAGGGAAAGTAGTCTGAATATCAAAATAGATTCATGTACAATCATATTAAAGACCATCCAGCCGTTAAAGAAACACACAAAATACTTTTTTCCACAAAAAGAAAGCAAATAAATACAAAAACTTCAGGAATTTGATGTTATTTACTAATTAATGATGAATCAGGAAATTGTAAATTTAAAATTAGCTGCCAGATAAT